CTTGGTCTTCTGATTATTATTCTCTAAATGAGTTCCTTTTTCATTATTAAAGAAAAAACAGTTGCTTAACCCACAGTGACTCTGTTTTTACACTTAAATTCTTCACTCCCTAAGAACAAAGATATTTTCTTCATAACAGTACAGTTATCAAAATCAGTACATTAACAATGATACCTCATCCACAGAATTTGTTCCCACTTAGCCAGTGTTCCCGTTTATGTGCTATGTAGCAAGAGGGAAATTTTATTTTTTCAGGATTCAATCCTAGAACACAAATTGCATTTAGTAAGTGTCATGTCAGTTTAGTTTCCTTTAATCTATAACAGTTTTTCAGTTTTTCTTGTCTTTCATGCCAGTTTTGAAGGATGTAGATGTATTGTTTTATTGTGTATCCCTCAAGGTTTGTCTGATGTTGGCAGGAATACCACAGAACTGATGTTATATCCCTTTCAGTGAATAATACCATGGGATGTCCATTTATCCCACTAGTGGTATTATTAATTATAATCACTATAATAAAGTGGTATCTACCAAGTTTCTCTACTATCATTAGTAACTTGTGGGGAGGTTCTGTTTCTCATCGTATTTCTCCCTATTAGTTTGAGCATTCATTGTTGACTCTTTCCTCAATTATAACTCCTATGGTTGTCAAAAGAGTGGTTTTCAAATTCATCATTTCTTCTATATTTGTAAGTTGAAATTTAGCCATAGCAGTTACCTAGTTATAAAAAGTGCATTTTGTGGACTTCCCTGGTTGTCCAGGGGCTAAGACTGTGATCCCAGTGCAGGGGGCCTGGGTTCAATCTGTGGCTAGGGAACAAGATTCCACAGGCCACACCTAAAAGATTCCACATGCCACAACTAAGACCCAGCACAACCAAATAAATACAGAAAAAAACAAAAAGTGCATTTTCTTTTTTACTGTTGTTTCTATTAAGGGACTTTTTAAATGTCTTACTAATTCTGCTTTATGTGTATACATGTTTTACATCCTCCAAGCACCTGAATTATGGATACATTATTTCTCATTGCAAAGCTCTTGTAGATTTTCTTTAATTGGTTGCTTGCTTAAGTGCTCTGTAATCCCATGTGGGAGAGTCCTATTGGGTCCCAGAGGACTTATGTATTACAGAGCAAAGTACTGAACCTCTCAGAGACTCACTCTTTTTGCTGTCTGCATGAAAGCAGGAGCCACATCTTTATTCCACTTTGAATCCCTAGGACAATGTGTGCACCAGTAAACCTACAGTTAGTGTCTGTGGAACTGAACTGTATCTCCTCTGTACCACTGTTAGTCCATTTTTTTTCTTTTTAATTGATTTAAGAAATCTCTCCTGTTTTCAAATCTTTTAAAGGGTCTTCTAAATTCCTTTTGGGATCATTCCTTTTTTGTTTAGTCGCTAAGTCGTGTTTGATTCTTGCAGCCCCATGGACTGTAGCCTGCCAGGCTCCTCTGTCCACAGGATTCTCCAGGCAAGAATACTTGAGTGGGTTGCCATTTCCTTCTCCAGGGGATCTTCCCGACCCAGGAATTAAACCCAGGTCTCCTGGATTGCAGGCAGATTATTTACCAGCTGAGCTATGAGGGAAGATCTTTCTACACCATAAGCTTTCCTTATTATTTTTTTTTCTTTCGCATAGGTATGATTCTACTTTCAAAAATATGGCTTAATTTTTCTACCCTGGGAATTCGCTTTAGATGTTTATAGATAACTTTTCAGATTTCATTCCTGCTGTGCTGTGCTTAGTTACTCAGTCATGTCCGACTCTTTCTGATCCCGTGGACTGTAGCCCACCAAGTTTCTCTGTCCCCGGGGATTCCCCAGGCAAGAATACTGGAGTGGGTTGCCATGCCTCCTCCAGGGTATCTTCCCAACCCAGAGATCAAGCCGCATTGCAAGCAGATTCTTTACCATCACCTGGGAAACCCAAGAATACCGGAGTGGGTAGCCTATCCCTTCTCCAGGGGAACTTCCTGACCCAAGAATTGAACCAGGGTCTCCTGCATTGCAGGAGGATGCTTTACCAGCTGAGCCACCCTTATTTTCGGTTGTGTATTCCTACTTTTTCTTTATTAAACTCACACGTTGTTGCAATTTTTTTTCATAAATTAATATTGTTCTGAAAAAGGGAAGGAAGGGGTAAAATTTCATTCCTGTTTGTTGAGGAGTCTGTGTGGCTATTCCCAAAGTTAACTGTTTTGTTGTTGCTGTTCCATGGAGGCTGAAACAAATTTTTTAAATTACCCCTAAATTTCTACTCATTATTTACGTTTGAAGGATGTACTTAAGATTCAGCTCAGCTCAGTTCAGTTGCTTACTCGTGTGTGACTATGACCCTGTGGACTGCAGCATGCCAGGCTTCCCTGTCCATCACCAACTCCCAGAGCTTACTCAAACTCATGTCCATTAAGTCAGTGATGCCATCCAACTATCTCATCCTCTGTCATCCCTTTCTCCCCTTGCTTAAGATTATTTATTAGCAAAGTTTGGACTAGAAATGGGATGCCTGATCCCCAAGCTTAGGGCTTTGCTAATCAATACTTCCTTCCTGTAAAACAGCCATGTCATATTCTAGAAATAAAACAGAAAAGCCTGGATGCTTTGATTTTAGCTGCAGCTGTAATGAGGGTTCTGTTGCAAGTTTAGATGCATGCTATCTAAATGCATGCATGCTCAGTCGATTCAGTCATGTCCAACTCTTTGTGACCCCATGGACTATAGCTCACCAGCCTCCTCTGTCCACAGGATTCTCTAGGCAAGAATACTGGAGTGGGTTGTCAGGCCCTCCTCCAGAGGAACGTCCCGACCAAGGGATCAAATCTATGACTCCTTCATCTCCTTCACTGCAGGCAGATTCTTTATGGCTAACCCACCAGGGAGATGTTCTCCATATTCTACCCCAAATGTGAGCCTGCACATTCTGCTTTTCTACATCAGGTTAGGGAATTCCTTTTTGTTCTGTGCAGAAGTACAATCCAGGAGGGTAGAGAATTAAAAGCTGTGGGAAACCCTCAACCAATACAGGATGGGAGTGGTGGATTAATGCTCCAACCTCACGATGGCTATCCAGGATTGGGGGCATGCTGTATGTTTCTCAGGGGTCCTTAAGGAATAAGCGGTGACTTCAACAATGGACCCTTATACCGACTTTTTCTTCTTTCTCGTCTCATTCTTGCTGATCCATCAATTCCACGGAAATACTTTCCAAATAAACTAGATGCACCCAAATCATTGTCCCCAAGATCTACCTTTGGGAGTGCCCAAACTAAGCCACCTGGAGGAGGGCGAGGCAACCCACTCCAGTTTTCTTGCCTGGAGAAGTCCATGGACAGAGAAGCCTGGTGGCTACAGTCCATGGGGTCACAAAGAGTCGGATATAATATGAATGCAAACTAAGCCAACAATTCATTCAACAAACATTTACTAAATGACTTTGTTGTTGTTTAATCACCCAGTCATGTCTGACTCTTGCCACCCACCCCATGGGCTGTAGCCCACCAGGCTCCTCTGTCTACAGGATTTCCCAGTATAGAATACTGGAGTGGGTTGCCATTCTCTTCCCCAGGATATCTTCACAACCCAGGAATCCAACCCATGTCTCTTGCATTACAGGCAGATTATTTACCATTGAGCCACCAGGGAAGCCAGTAAATGACTAGTCTATGACACACTAGTGCCTGCTCTGAAGTGTATAACAGGGAGACACAAAAGTAGAACCTTACCTCAAAGTTACCTTCTGTTGTTGGAGATGCTATGTTAGAGGCAAGAACAGAATTATGCATGAAGACATAGGGTAGTTTATTTGGAAAGTGTTTCCGCAGAACAGGATTGATGGATCAGCAAGAGTAAGACAAGAAAAAAGAAAGAGTCAGTATAATTAATGAATTAACGAATGAGCTAATTAATGAAATGTGAATCAAATATACATCAACAACTGTATACCATGCAAATGACAACTATTGAGTTGATACCTTTGTATGCTCTGTATAGGGCTTCCCAGGTGTTGCTAGTGGTAAAGAACCTGCCTGCCAACGCAGGAGGTGCGGGAGATGCTGGTTGAATCCCTGGGTCGGGAAGATCTCCTGGAGGAGGCATGGCAACCCATTCCAGTATTCTTGCCTGGAGAATCCTGTGGACAGAGGAGCCTGGCAGTCTGCAGTCCATAGGATTGCAAACAGTTGGACACGACTGAAGTAGCTTAGCAAGCACGCTCTCTACAAGGGTTATGCTCTGCTCTTTTGTGGTTTGTAGTGGTACATGATATGAACCTAGGTGATACATGGATGGACATTTAAACATTTTTGTAGTTATTATGTTAATGTGTACTAGACTAAAAATAACACTTGACTTTTCAGAGCCTTATGGTTTAGGATGAGGCTAAAATTAATGAGTTGAAATTGGTTTTAAAGAAAAACACTGAGGGAATAATACTTGGGTGCAGACTGGCAAACATTGTGTGGGTGGTATGCAGGGTAATGAAATTTGGGAAATAGTGTTCTGCAGGAAGGAAACCTGAAATGAAATCCCTGCTTTCTAGAAGGTCAACAGTGAGGGAACACCGGGCCACAAACAAGAATGATTAGTACCACAATAAATTTGGAAACCAAATACAGGGAGAAGATAGGAAAATAGTGAGGAGCAAAGAGAAGGCTATACTAGAGCTACAACCTCCATCGGAAGGCTATTACTCTAGTCCAGGGGAGAGGTAATACTAGCCTGCGTTAGGGAGTGTCTTCAACAACGGCATAAGGACGAGTAACATAATAGGTTCATTGCAATCATCCTGTGAAAACCTCGCTAGTTGCGAACAGCATGAAGTTGAAACCTGTTCAGCCAAATCCAGAGCAGCATTGTCCACATATATACACAACCACACAAATGGAATGACAGAGCTGAATTCGTCACTCAGAAAATAGAATTAGAAGCACATTTTTATTTGGCTTCAACGATCAGAGTGGTAGTGTGAATTAAGTCAGATTCTTGCCCCCATTCCTTTTTTTTTTTTTGTACTTGACTCAGAGGCTCGAGAAACGCTAACATATATACAGCGCTTTCTATGTCTCAGGCATGTTCTAAAAGCTTTACATTTTCCATTCTTCTAACCCTTTATTTGACACAAGAGGAAACTGAAGCATAGGAGGTGCTCAGGTAATGCATCTCTGTGAAACAGCAAGGATTAAACTCAGGCGTTCTGGCTCTAGAGTATCTATTCTTTACACTAGAATGAAAGAGTCGGATAATGCTGAAACAGCTCACCCTTCAGCATCGGATCGTGAAACACTCTTACTGGTGGCAGAACACTTGGCTCTGGGATCACAGTTTCTCCTTCTGTAAGATGGAGATAACGACGCTAGGAGTTTGGTGCAAAGAAGGAGTGAGATAATGAATGCGAAAGTGAACTTCAAATTATGTAGGTGGCTCCACACACCAGTCTTTTGGAATAATGAGAACGGGAACTCAAGAAATTGTAACGAATCAATCTACGAATCTTGTAGCGAGACTCCGCCCCTGACGCTCCTCCCACTGCGAGCCGCAGGTGGGGCCGGCCGATCTTCTTTGCGCATGCGGGAACTGCTGCCCGCTCCCACCTCTATCCCAGGCTGAGAGTAGCTGCCGTTTCTGAGAGGACGATTCGTAAGGAGACCCCTGGCGCGGTTTCCCATTGCTCGTCCCTCTGCTGGCTTTGGCCATAGTTCAGCGGTGTCTAGAGGGTGGTCTGTCCTCGTCTACCTGCCAGACCTTCTGCAGAGGTTCCTGTGGTTGGCCCAGTAGTCGGCTGTCGAAAGTGCCGGCCCCCGCGCCGGCGCCGGCTGCAGCCGGGTGGGAAGGCTCAAGATGGCGTGCCTGTTGGAGACCCCAATCCGCATGAGCGTCCTCTCGGTGAGTGACCCGCCGCAGCCGCTCGCTTGCCCGCGCGGGAGCTCGGGCCCAGCCCGCGCCATTCACCAGCAACGCCGTCTGCCTCTTGGGCATCACCCCTTGGGGTGGCCTCTGGCTCAGCTCTGGGCCGGGGAGTGAGAGAGGGTGGGCGGGCGGGATAGACTGGATCCCAGCCGAGCCCGAGACGTCTCCAACTCCGGGAGCGCTCACCGGTGCTGGTTCTCTGACGGCGTCCGGCGGGCGGGGTGGTTGGGCATACGGGCAGCTGGCCCAGCGGCGCGGCTTGGGCTTTGCCAGTTGTTTCACCGAGCCCTCCTCTTAGCGATGCCGCTTCCCCGGGGCCGAGCACTCTGCTCCGTGAGGCGCCGGGCTTGCCGCTGACCTGGGGATGAGTGCCCACTTAGCCACCCCATCCTCCCCACCCCCAACCGCTGTGGCAAAAAAAGATAGAGGCTCCTTGGCCCCCACAGACTCGGGGCTACCACGCCAGATCTGTGTGGCTTCTATCGCTTCCCAGCACCCGGTTACGGGTTGGAGCTGCTTGCTTCTTGGCAACGGAGATTTCATATCAGTTGCAACGTCTCCTAGTGTGTATAGTTATTTAAGCCCCCTTTCTCCGCTCTACTGTGACGGTCTCAGCCCTGTGAGTCTGCAGGAACCTGTGCCTGGCGTTCCTTTTTCCTTCAAGAGGAGTCAAACGTTAAAAAGGAATGTATTGACATGCCAACAAGCAAACCTAGTTTGCTTGTTGAAGTTTCAAAATAAAACCAAATCGCGACTTTCACCGTTTACTGTGTTGCTTTTGAGAGAACCAGGACCAGGGGTGAAAGTTACTAGAAGGTACCTTAGAAGGATTTTGCAACAAATGAGAGCTGTCCAACTGAGAATTGTCAGTTTACCAGAGGCCCATTTGTTGTAGTTGGAAACCAGCCGGCAAAGACTGGTTGACCATCTTTTAAACTTCTCGTGGAAGTCAGTCTGATGTTGAGACGGTGGCTGGATTGTACATGACTTGTCAGATTCCTTGAGTCTGTGGCTCCAGCTGGTTTCTTTTCTCTTCAGTGACTTCTCCCACAAACACACTCACCTGTCTGGAGGCAGTTAGCTCATTTGCAACAATTCGCGGTTAGAGCATTGTTGCGGTTAGACCATTGTTGCAGTTACAGAATTGTGCTATATTCCACTTTGATTTTTTGTTTTTGGAAGGGGGTGAGCTGTACAGAAATATTTTCTCTGATCCATTTTAGTAATCCCTTTTTTAATTTTTAAACTGTGACTGGGGAAATACTGTTCACCTAAGCATTGAATTAGATTGAGTTACCACACCTCTCACTGACACCTAGTAACATTTTATGGGAGAACAGGCCAATGACTTTAATGTCATTATGCTGTTGTTGTTTGGAAGTCACTTTTCTCAGTTCCCTTTAATTATTCTCATTTATCCTTAACTTCACTTGAAGCTTTTTTATTTTTTTACATTGTCAACTCGTATAGTGTACAGTTGAATTTTGTTGTTGTTGTTGTTTTTTGTTTTCACCCCCTTAGTAATATTTCCTATTTAACTTTGTGCAAAAACTTCTTGAAGAGTGTTCTCTATTTCTTGTGGGGATTTGCTTTAGCCCCAGTCTCACTGGGCCTCTCTTCCCTTTCACCTCCAACCACCTTTTTTTTTTTTTTTTTAAGGTTTTCAGAGTCCTAGGGTCTGGTCTTTCAGTTCATCAGTTCTGGTGCCTTGGGAAAGCAGAGCTTTGGATAAATGATTTAAACTGTCCAGACTTATTGATTATAATAATTTCAACTGAAGCCTGGATCTTTCAAAGTTTTACCTAGGGCACCACTTTTTGAAATACAAAGTGCAGATGGACTAGGACTTAATAATGAAAAATTATCTTGAAAATAATTTACCGCTTTAATAGGCTACTTATTTTGCACCAGCTGTGTACAACACTGTTTAATATATGCTTTAGGGTATGCTTGATTGAGCTCAGCTGTACCCTCAGGGAACTCACTGGTCTGAATGACTCCATAGCTTGAAAAACATAATTCACACCAGGGGCAGATCAAATGGTTTAGAGAATTTCCCTTCAAGTCCCTTTATATCTTCTTCTTTCTGGTGGCTTAGATGGTAAAGAACTCTACCTGCAAGGCATGAGACCCGGGTTCGATCCCTGGGTTGGGAAGATCCCCTGGAGAAAGGAATGGCAACCCACTCCAATATTCTTGCCTGGAGAATTCCATAGACAGAGGAGCCTGGTGGGATACAGTCCATGGGGTCACAAAGAGTCAGACATAACTGAGCAACTAACCACAACCTCTCTGAGAGATATTATTCATTCTAAAATGTTAACTGTAGTCAACTCACACATCTGCATTGTCAGCCTTGGCTGTTCTCCATCTGGTCTCATGTCTTCAGTTGTGTGGATGTTAGCCATCACTTCCAACAAAGCACATTCCTTCTGACTTCCCATTTCTGTTAATGGTACTGTCTTTCATGGATCACCCACCATTAAACTGCTTGAATCATCTTTGACTCTTCCCTCTTCATGCCTCTAGAGCTAATCAGTCCTTAAGTTCTTTTGGCTCTTCATTCTCAGTGTTTCTCACATCTGTCTGTTCCTGTGATCACCTTCTCTTTCAGGACCTTATCATTTTATGCCTGCATTACCACAGTTCCTTGCAGTTTATTTTACTGCCTCTAGTAGTCCAGTTCTCCACATTAATTTTCCTATACAGCACACAGGACACACAGTTTCCTTGTTTCAATTCTTCAGTGGATTCCTGTTGATGAAAGGATGCTATTCCTATTCAGTTTTGGATATAAGATTCTTTCTCCTCTGCATGAACCTCCTATCCCATATAAACTGGCTTTCTCAAGTTAAAGTGGTCTGGATTCTTACAAACCCCAGTAGCCCTTGTCTGCCTGCTCATTTGCACACATGAATTCTAGCTTTGTATGTAACACATTTTGAGCTTCTGTCATTTGCTGAGCATGGCATTGGGTTTGGGAATACAGTGGTGAACTGCACAGACTGTCTCTGCCTTCTTGGAGATTAGTCTAATGGGGGAAAGAGATATCAAAATGTCACAGAGTTCTTTGTGAACGATGATTAGTGTTACAAATGAAAAATATAGGGTGCTGTACCAACATGTAATAGAGGAATGTGTTCAAATATGGAGGTCAGTGAGCTAGGAAAGGTTTCCCTGAAGAAGTGACAATGAGCTAATAGTTCAAGGACAAGTAAGAACTAACTCGAATAACAGAAGAGCATTCCAGGCAAGCTGGAATCCAGCTGAAATCAAGATTGAAATCAAGCTGGAATCAAGATTGCCAGGAGAAATATCAATAACCTCAGATACGCAGATGACATCAGCTTCCTGATAGTTCAGTTGGTAAAGAATCCACCTGCAATGCAGGAAACCCTGGTTCAATTCCTGGGTTGGGAAGATCCACTGGAGAAGGGATAGGCTACCCACTCCAGTATTCTTGGGCTTCCCTTGTGGCTCAGCTGGTAAAGAATCTGCCTGCAATGCAGGAGACCTGGGTTCGATCCCTGGGTTGGGAAGATCCCCNCCGACCCATTGGAAAAGACCTTGATGCTGGGAAAGAGTGAAGGCAGCAAGAGAAGGGGGTGACAGAGAATGAGATGGTTGGATGGCATCACTGACTCAATGGACGTGAGTTTGAGTAAACTCCGGGAGTTGGTGATGGACAGGGAAGCCTGGTGTGCTGCAGTCCACGGGGTCGTAAAGAGTCGGACATGACTAAGTGACTGAACTGAACTGATTCCAGCAAAGGAAACTTGTATTTCAGGAGTCCTGAGGCTTTTAGTAATTATTCTGTTTTATCTTCTTAGAGAGTAAAGTAATTCAGAGGTAAATGCTGGACCTTGCCTTCTTTTTAATCCAGCTATCCTTTATAGAGTTTCCTTGGTGGCTCAGATGGTGAAGAATCTGATGGCACTGCCGGACACCCAAGTTCAATCCCTGGGTAGGGAAGATCCCCTGGAGGAGGGCATGGCAACACACTCCAATATTCTTGCCTGGACAACCCCATGGACAGAGGAACCTAGTGGTCTACAGTCAGTGTGGTGGCAAAGAGCCACCACACAACTGAGCCACTGACACACTTTCACTTTCTATAGCACTGTGTCTTTTGTATGCTAGATTCTCAATAAATATTTGATTGAACTGTTTATTTGGAGGAATTGAACGAAATCTCCAGGTGTCTTTCTTGGTCATGGCCATGATCACCCTATCCCTCTTTGGTTTGCATTTAGCATTACAACGTCACTGTTTTCAACACCATTTATACATTTTCCCAAACTTTTGGGGTGGTTTTACATTGATTGCGTTTTTAAAAGTTTTTATTTTGAGATAGCTACAGATTCACAGGAAGTTGCACAGATAGTAGACAGAGATGGTTGTGTGTACTCTGCCCACCTCCCCGTTTGGTCACATTTTATTTAAGTGTTGTATAATATCAAAACCACATAACTGTTGTTGGTATAAATATGTATGTACTTCTGTATCGTATTATCACATGTGTATATTTGTGTAACAACACAGTCAAGATCTCCCTCATGCTACTTCTTTATAGTCACACCTTCCTACTCCCCCACACCCAGTATCTCTAACCCTGGGCAACAGTTAAACTCTTCTCCATCTCTATGATTTTGTCATTTTTCTATAACGTTACTTAAGTGGAGTCATATGGCGTGTGACTTTTTGAGATTGTCTTTTGTCATTGAGTGTAATGCCCTGAAGATCCATCTAAGCTGTTGTGTATGTATCAATAGTTCCTTCCTTTTAATTGCTGAGTAGCATCCCATGATATGAATTTATAATATGGATGTCTGAAAGATAGTTTGCTTAACTGTACTATTAGAAATTTCGGTTGTTTGTAGTTTTTGGTTGTTAAAGCCTGCTATGAACAAACATATACAGGCTTTTCTGTGGGCATAACTTTTTGTATCTCTGAGATAAATGCCCAGTGGTGCAAT